TTTTCACATATCGACATTTTCAAGGTGTGACTTTGAACTTCCATGGGTTTGAAGACCTTTGCTAGTCTGAATATCCATGATAATTTTATTTCATTATTAAAATTGATGGTCATTATGCATTATGTAATATTGCAACGAAAATGAAGAAACCTCTATTTTGGACACTGCTTTTATAGTGACCATTAAAGAAAAACCATGTTACTTACTCTTCTTAAAACTTACAGGAAAGAAACACAGGTCTAAAATGCAGCCTGTGTTGGAAAAGCAATCTAATTGGTTTCTTTTTCTGTTGTACATGTTTGTGAAGTTGTTATCTTTCATATATTGGCATTTTCAATGTGGGACTTGGAACTCCCATGGTCATGAAGCCCAGTGGTAATCAAATTTTCTAAATGACCACGTTATTAATAAAAATAAATGGTGGTAATTATAGTTAATCATTATGTAATATTGCATCAAAATTGACAAAAAGCCAACTTCGTGCACTGTCATCACAAACGTTATGATAAAAAGCAAACTGTGTTACTTATTATTTTTTTTAGCTTAAAAGAATGATTCTTAGGATTGACATACAGCTCAAATAAGAAAACCAGCTCTATTGGATTATCATTTTTTATTGAATTAACGCAACTTTTTGTGAAATTCTCATTTTTCTCATTCTGGCATTTTCTAAGTATGAACTTGAACTCTCATGGGCCTGCTTTTACTTTCATCGGTATTACCTGTTTTGCATAATTTAAATTTGATGTTGACTTTGCAGTTAAGCGTAATATATTATTGCATCAGAATTGACAGCATCCTATTTTGTGCATTATTACTTTGTGCTTTTCTTAAGATGTGACTTATGGGCCTGAAAGACCTTTGAGAGGGTCAGTCTGTAAATTTCCCTTGGGTATCACTAAGCTAAGTTCAGAGTTATAAAGTCATTTGCCTAATTAATAGGTTATTAAATGAGATTACATAAAGCACAGTTGTTGATATTTCCCTGTAAACTCCCAAAGATTAAGCCAGTCTGCTAGATTAATAATAAGGAAGCAGTGATAATTATGCAGGTAAATTTTGCAATATCTCTGGGTCCACTCCTGTTATTGACCATGTTACCTGTTGTGCATGATTAAAATTCAGTGTTGACTGACAGTGCTATTATAAGCATTATTTATTATTGCATCAAAATTGACAAAATGACCTATTTTGCATCTTTATTTTCTGTTTTTTGTCTGTACATTTGACAGCTTTGCTGCCTTGTTTATATAAATGTTACATACTTAGTATGATGAATATAACAAATCTTAATAAAATTGAAAGTTTTGATTTATTTGATAATTGTTGTCAGTAAACAGACTTCTTTTTTGTTAACAAGGGTGGTAGTAATTTAGTTTATGAATAACTTATTTAGAACATTTGATGAATGATCTACTTCATGGAGTTCCTACAAAATTTCTGTTACATACGACAGAATATTCAAATGTGGTATCAGACTAAGACGGATGTGATTAGTCTGATACGCTAAAGTACGTAATGTGTATGACATTAGCAGCTGGCCCGTATAAAAAATTGTAAATTCCGCGTCACTGACAAGACGAGCTCGCAGGTGGGGAAAACGAAGGTGAATTTTGTTTGTACCAAATAAATTTGCAAAAGTTAAAGAAATGAACTTTTTAATGTTGTTTTGAATGAACAAGGTAATGTTGGTAGCATGTCGGACCCATCGTTTGACTAGTCCAAGGCAAAGGCAACAAAGGATAGGACAGAAATCAATGATTTATTTGCCTTTATTTGAAGACGCATCAAAGTATATTGGGGGAAATCTCGGGTTTTCAACCTCTTTTGCTGAATATGAAAAATGTAAAAATGCAAGACCAATTATCCCTTTAAGTGCAGATCGGGGGCCTACTTTTAAAATAGAAACTTGCTTCAACTTATGAGACCTAAAATTAAAAACTTGCCTCAACTTGTGAAACCGTAAATATTAAGTACTTTGGGTGATAGATAAATCATTGTAATAGTATTACGCTAGCACACAAAGAAGCTTTTTCCGTTAAAAGAAAAACAAATGGCGCACACTAAGATGAGGTAGAGATAAAAGCGTGCTTCATTTTAATTGACTGAAGATCTATGTTAAACGGAGTCCTGCACGAATGTATGTGAAAATGATAACTATAGAGGTCCGTAAATTGTCTCTACTTTTTCGTCCAGTTTAAGGACACCCTTGTGGTATCGGTGAAACGAGCTGCATCTTTTTTCAAGCAAATTCCAGCCAAGAACTTCTTTTTCCAGCCTTACTCTCAAACTGAATCTACGTTTCCGATGCCCTTCAAGATTGGACGTAACCGCATCAACGTTGAATATTGAATAAAGATTGATAAAATGACAGCCAAATATCAGAGATACTGCTTCAGCTATGTCACGAGACTAACGCCTTCAACCTGAAACGAGCAAACAAAAATGTTTAAATTACTTACAGCGAGCGTTATACGACTCAAATAATGTCGACATGCCAACATTATGTGTGTGTGTGTGTGTGTGTGTGTGTGTGTGTGTGTGTGTCGATCATGCACCACAATATATGCGTTATGCCCTACAAGGGATCATCGGTCGATTTATATTTAATGTACATGTAGGCTTCGGCTTGTTGAAAAATGATATTTTAACTCTGTAATGTATGTGTAATTAACGTGACACCTGTAAAATGCTGATTACACCAAATGTTACTATGACTATTCATTAAAAAATTTCATTGCTAAAGAAGTGACGCGTTTCAAATACCACGAAATAAGACTTCTCCATTCATCACCATTGCAGCGAAAGTATGAAGCAGGCTTCAATTACTCTTACCACTGGGGTCGTCTTTCATCAATCTTTGTAACAGGCCATACTGTGCGAATGCCCAGTACTTAACTGAGAACCAGATTCTTAGTAATAGTATTCTCTACATTAACAAAGTAGTAAAAAATACTTACCTTCTATTTGCGCCGAAAATCTAAACTCATTTCTCTCAACTGCTCAGTAATACGGGTGTCTGTACTTTTTCGTGTACCAAGTTGGTTTTCGTTTAAAATTGTAGCTTGGTCTGCGATATTTTCTGCCGTAACGTGTACGGCTGCGGTAGTTACCATAGTAACTGTATAACCCACCATAGCCACCATGGTAACCTTTGTATCTGTTGCTCAAAAATTTACCACCGTGGTAACCGCCAAGCTGGTTGCCACGGTAACCGCTGTAGCCTTTTTTGTACGGATATCTGTTGTAAGACGTCTGTGTAGCGCAAACCACGGCAACGATTAACACAAGTACCAGCGTTTGCTTCCACATCTTGCTGCTCTCATTTGACGCTAGTGAAATTGGTGTTGATGTAATGAACATTGAGAATTTTTTCTTCGTTTTTATAGCTTTTGGCGTTGCTTGTCTAACGTAATTTTTTGGGGAAAACGGTCCATTTGTGTCTTGCAACATATAATTATGCAAAATTGGTGGTTTTTCGTAGCACTTTTGAATACAAAGTAAACATCGCTGTAAATATGGGTCCCTATTTATCAAGTTGTTTTAACCGCAATCATTTTAACGAGTTTATACATGCACCTCTCTCTCTCTCTCTGTGTGTGTGTGTGTGTGTGTGTGTGTGTGTGGGTTTGCGTGGTTCTGTGACTTTTAAGAAAAGATAATTCCATAAGGGCATTTCCTTCGAGCTACCGTCACCATTCTGGCAGCCATAACTTCATCTATGAATAACCGTGGCAATCAAACTATCATATTAATTTTAAACATTATATTAATTATTTAACTATTATATCAGTATTAGTTTTAGACACGAGCTCTATCTTTCACAGCAAACACACTGAATAGCAAACAAAATTTTAGTACGAAATATTGTTATTGTAAAACGGGACCTTTAATGACTCCAATTTTACTGCATCTGCCACGGCTATTACTGTACTTTCCAATCGGAATTTAAAATTCGCTTCCGTCACTGTTCATTGGAATTGGACCACGTCTCCTGATACCGTGACAATATCTTTCCGTCTTTGCGGTCTACCAGGAGTTAGCCAGAGATGTCTGAACCCTGGTAGTTAATATTAATGGGGATTGGGCCTTTTATAACCACAGGCTTTACCCTGGGGCTCCTACAATATGATGCTAAGTAAATGTATTTCACTGTATACCCCCTTCCTTGAAATACCTTATACTCTCTGAGGGTCCGTTCGTGTATCGGGTGTAATGAAATAGATTATGAAAAGAAGCATTTTTGATATTTACCCATTTAGAAGTCCATTTAGAAATGCCCTGCGATTACAAAACCCAAGTCACGCTTATAGTCCAACTATTGAGAAAGTGTTTAAAAAAATAAAATAAATATCACGATTTTATGGCTAAACATCCCTTCAGATCATAGAAAAGATTATTTACAAGGAAAATGGAGAGACTGAAAAATATATGGACTTAGAAATTAAAACTGAACAACTTAAGACAATTGGCGAAAATCTAATTAACAAGGCTATACTGAAGTAGAGTCGTCATCTCGTGGGGAGTCGCATCCTCAGCTACAGGGTACAAAGATGGAAGTAAATGTGAGCTGTGCTGTCGATAGGGTAATAGGATACTAATAACAGTGCTGGCTGAGATGCTAAGTTCCGGGTACCACCCATTGAGTCGTTTTCTCCTGATCATCGCAATACTGCACGAAATAAAGAAACTGATAATATCAGACAGCATTGGATAATGTTTTTAGAAGATAATTTTCAAGAAAATTGCCAATTTTCACCACGGAAAAAACAGATATGTTTAAATAAATTCCAAATAACGTGCATTTGTGGTATTCGTTTACAACCGCAAGATTTTTTGTTAATCGCTATTTACACTCG